AGGTGAGCACCTGCCTCGGCCTCCCACTAGTAGGCAAAGGTGAGCACCTGCCTCGGCCTCCCACTAGTAGGCAAAGGTGAGCACCTGCCTCGGCCCGGCAGCTCACTGGCAGCGCCACAGCCACAGGCCTTCTCGCACGGTGGCTTCTGCTCCCGCCAGTCTCTGCATCCTCCCTTGCGTCTTCCGCTGCTCTGCCTGCGTCAGGTGGTGGCACCTGCTCGGCCGTGCGTGTTACCCCTGTCCAGGAGGGGCGTGCCGTGGGCAGGCTTGCCGGAGGGACGGGCTCCCCCGCCTGCACCAGGCCCCGGTGGACAGAGCTGCTGACCCCAGGGGCAGCGAGCTCACGGCCACACCCGCTCGGAGTCGTTCGCCTGGACACGGCGCCCTCTGCGTGGTCCCCGGGAAGCCGACAGCTCCCTCAGTGGGGCTCGCGGTGACGCGGGCAGCACGCTGGACAGCCACGCCCCGTCCACAAGGCTGCCAGTGGCTGGGCGGGCAGGAGACGGGCCAGGGAGGGCGGGGGGACACGGTGGGACACGGCGCTCTCTGAGGGCCCCCTCCGCCCTGTCTCCTCCTTGAGAGAGACCTGTGGGGTCAGTGGTTCCCGTGCCACAGGTCTGGCCAAGCGGGACAGGCAGAGGACCTGGAGGGAGGAGGAGCGGCTGGGGCCCTCCCGAGTCCCTCAGCTGCAGGTCGGCTCGGGCGGGACGTGGACCTTGTGGAAAGTTGCAGCCCCTAGCCGGAGGCCTCCGCATATGGTGTTGTGGGGACTCCGCTTTCCCCGCGTCCCTGGGCTCTGCACCACAAGCGCTCCTGTGCGGTGGGGGACAACCGTGGCAAAGCCCCTCCTCGCGCAGCTGACAGCTCCGGTCTCCCAGGACCCCGACTTGCATCTCCCCAATGCTCTTGGGGGCCAGGTCAGCAGCTCCCGCCAGGAGAAAGCAGGGCAGTCAGTCACTACGGCGCGCTCAGGCTCCCGCCACGGGGCGGGCCACGGAGCAGGGCGGCCCTACGCGCCTTGCAGCGGACGTGGAGGTGCTTCCTCCGAGTCCAGCCAGAGCCTGGCCTTAGCCGCGA